TGTTCAGCTCTTTAGTATCTTGAATTCTTCCTTGTGCTTTGGCTTCTCTACGCTCCAGTGCAATCTTCAGAGTTTCTTCTGACATCCATTTTGGTCTAGAGTACATTAAATACTGTTCAGGCCCTAGGCCCCTGGCCCTCCTGGGAGGCCTTCCATCCCTCTCCCCACTTGGCTTTGCTCCCCCACAGACAAGTGTTCCAGAGCACAGACGTGCCCGCAGCACTCAGGGGTACCTTTTGCATTGCCCTTGGGGTCTCCCAGGGCACTGATCATCACCTCCCCACTGGCCAGACAGTGGCTAGTGTGGAGATAGCCCAGGTCACACTTGCCATGAACATCCTTGGGCTCGATGACCTGGAAAGGGGCAGGAAACAGTGTTAGAATCTTACAGGGCCCATGTCCCACTCTCTACTCCTGCACTCCCCCACGTCTTTCTGCTGACCCTGTCTTCTTTTCCTTCTACACATGGACACAACTCTCCCTACAGGATTATGGCAGACAGTGGGTCTGGTGACTTCTACAGAGCAACAGGGAGAATCGAAGAGACTTAATAATTCCCAGGCAGAGGTCACTGATTTCCACTCAATCCTGAAGACACTCTCAGCTGTGTGGGACCATAAGCCGCACCTGGGCTGGGACAGTGTGAGCTGACAGCACAAATGCTGTATCTATCTCTAGCAGCCAAGAAGAGTGGGTGCCTACAGGCTGTAGGTGATAAACTAGGTGCTTCGAAGGAGAAGAAGTGAGGCTCCAGCCTAAAGGAAGCCATGAACTCATAACTAGATTGGGGAGGAGAGGAGTGGAGAAAAGGATTCTTTTTCCAGGATCTCTGGTGGTTCAGTGCTTAAGTGCTTGGCTACCACCAGACAGACCTACAGTTGGAAGCCACTCACCAGCTGCTCTGGGGGAGAAAACTGTGGCTGTCTGTTTCTGTGAAAGATTCCACTGCTGTGGAGTGGGCTTCTCCTCACAATGAGTTTCCGAGGCTGTAAATCTTGGTGGGAGGAGACCGCTCATGCTTCTCCCTTGAAGCAGCTGGTGGACTAGGCCCGCCAACCTCTCAGCGGTTTAAGATGCATTATGCCACCAAAGCACCATAAAGATTACAGCCTTGGAAACACTACGGGGCAGTTCTAGTTGGACAGACCTGACTCAACGAGTTTTCCAGAGGCAATGGCTTCACCCTTTCATAGTTAAAACCAAGGTTCCTCTCGATAAACCATGCATCCTGCTCACGATACACAAGCTCATTGACTCTCCACTGGGTTTCCAAGGCCTGTAAATTGCACTGGAAGAGATGTCCATTTTTCTCCCGTGGAGACACACTGGTGGGCCAGAGTCCCAGAGAGATTCAGCCTCTGGCTTAGCAGTGTGACTCCCTACTGACTGGGCCACCGGAGCTTCCTTCCCCCCCTCAGTCCTGGGCGGCTGTGACTCTGCACTCCTAAGTAACCCTCCTCCGAAGTCTATAATCTCCCTCCCTTCCTGCGGCTGATCCCAGATTCTAGTGAGTACTAGATGAACCCCCTAGCTTAGGCCTGGAACAGGCTATCTCGCCCTGGGGTGCCTTCTTGGGGTCCCTTCTTGGGGTGGATAAGGGCAGAGGACAACGTGCCTTGTGCAGCTTCGGGGCCCGGGGCTCCGAGCCCACATCCACGATGTAGATGCGGGAGGAGATGAGGCTGGGCAGCACCAGCTTGGTGCGCGACTTGGTGCTGTCGCCAAAGCAGCTGCTACAGGTGTTCCAGCCGGAGTGATGCAGCTCATCTTTCAGGTTGGGCATGGGCAGCCGGTGGATGACCTGAGACGACGGGACAAGGGGTAGTGCGCGCGCAGAACGTGCCTCCAGGAGCCTCTGGACGGGGCACGTCCCCTTGGACTCCGCAGCATGGCCCTGGCTGGCTTCCAGCTCTTCCCTGTTCTCTTGAGAGCTCCCTGGTGCGGTGAACCGTACCAGAGAGTGTGAGGCAGATGAGGCTGGAGAAGCGCAGCGCCAGGGTGCCAGGGCTAGAGTCGGCCTGCCTTACCTGGCAATACTGGGGAGAGTTGGGGTTAACATCCACAGTGGCCAGGTAGTCCGGGGCCTCAATGCCCGTATTTCGGTAAATACAGGGCAGGTAGACAATCTCTTCCCGGGGTCCTGGAGGGTAGAAAACAGATGATGGAAGAGTGAGGAGGCATAGCTGAGTGTGTGTGAAGGAGGGCTGGGCGTGCCTGAGGGTGAGGAGAGGGTTCAGTGGGGTGGGTGGGAGTCGGGAGTCTGGGGCCCCCACCCCCAAAGCCCGGTAGGCAGCAGAGGGGTGTAAATTCTCTTTGAGGCTCTAGGCTCTTACCTTTCATGGCCTCCAGAGGCGTTGCATAACCGGGTCCACACTTCGTACACTTTGTGGCTGTGGACATAATGCAGCACGTTGAGTGAAGCCTCATTAGAGGTTCTAGACTTGGCCTCTCCTAACAGCCTGCACCTGGCAGCTGGTGGAGGGTCTTCCCTTTACCCCCTCAGAGCACTGATGTGTGGGTGTGGCCTGAGGGGGACAGATGCCCAAGTAATGTCAGTAGTGTCAGTACCCTGCAGGGCTGAGGTTATGACACCAAATTGGGCCTTGTACTGACTGGCCTGGGCGAGTCCCTTAACAGCCTCATCCCAATTAAAAAAGGATTAATAAGGATATCACTAGGAGAAATTTATAAGAAGCAAACACAAGGATGCATGCCAAATATGCAGTTCTGTGTGGCCCCTGACAGGAGGCAGATAAAGTCAGTGCTGGGTGAGTGAGTGCTAGAGGAACAGCCCTTGGGGTGTGTGTGGGGCCTGCCTGGGTCCTTTCAGGGGATTTATCTCTATTGGGCATCTTTCTGAGTTCCTCTCATTGCACCCTGTCTTCAGGCTGCTGGCCAGTGCCTCCGTTACATAACAAAGGGTCTGGTCATCCAGAGGGAGTGATGGAGTCTGAGATTTCTAGGCTGCAAAACTTGGCAGCAGTTGGATTTCCTTAGACTAGTTTCAGCCCCCAGCCGGGCCCCTGCTTCCTTTATCAGTAAAGTAAGCTGTTAGTTATTGTGCTCTGGAGCTGTGGGAGGAGGTCCTCCTGGTTCCCTGGAGTATGACAGGCATGAGAAGCTGCACTCGTCTAATTGGGCCGAAGGTAAAGAGAAGAGACCAAAGTCTGCCTCAGAAAAGAAAAAAAATTCCCCTCACAGCTGCCAGGAAGGACTGCTGCAAGATTTAAAGGGCCGAGGAATAACACCAAGGAACGCTGGCTGAAAGAAATCCTGGAATGGACTTTACAGGATTGGGCACAACACTCATTGACCCCTCACCTGCCCCCTTCGCGGTATCAGGCTACAGCCCTGTAAATGTGGGGCCAGGTTTTGGCACAATCAGAGCCTGGACATGGCCCTTGATTGGTAGCCAGCGCCAAATGAGAGGCCTCTTAGGCGCTGAGGCAGCAGCAGATTTTCTGAGTCCTTCAGAGCTGTGTTCAAGTTCCAGGTTTGACACCTACTCTCTTTATTTTTTCTCCCTCATTTGCTAAAATCCTCCTTCTCTTTATTGTCGAATAGGAAAACCCCCCCAAAACAAAACCCAACACAACACAACAACCCATACCTGATTTTCTGCTGGGCTTCAAGTCTGTAAATTGCAGATTTTACAGATTACCCAATGAAGATGGCTCATCATTCTCCCAAGGTGCTGATGGTGGATTTGAACCAGCAGAAAGGCATTGCCTTTGGCTTAGCAGCCCAACACCCTATAGTCTAGGTCACTAATGCTCCCTCATTTGTTAAAATGGGGGTAATATACCATCTTGAGCTTACAAACAAAGATCTGTGGACTTCTCCAGCAGACCTGGATGCCCTGTAGAGCTATGGGCTCAATTACTAGTTGGAAGGTTGGTGTTTAAAACCACATAGAGGCACCTTGGAACACAGAGCCTGGCAATGTGCTTCCGAAAGGCCACAGCCCTGAAAACCCTTGGAAGTGTCTCTGCTCTACACACCCAGCACAGCCACCAGGCAGGACTGCAGCCAGCTCCATCCAACCCATTTCTTTGAGTGGCTGTGAAAGTCAAATAAGAACGTGTTTTCAGCAGGACCTTCACAAAACAAAACTGTTGTGTAAATAAAGGTAGGGCAGTGCCATTGGAGGATGGAAGGGTGCCAGGCAGCATTTGGTGCAGAGAGAAGGCTGGGAGTGGGTGGGGCAAGGTGGAAGGGAGGTCTGTACCAAAAGCCGTTAAAGAGGCTCGCTCTGCAGTTTCACCAAGCTGTGCGGGGCTTTGTCCCAGGAGGTGACAGAGAGGGAAAGGGGTTCTGAAAGAGGTTTTAAAAACTTCAGGGAGACACACCAAAGCCAATCTCGCAAACACGCAAAACCACTCAAAACAGAGAAGCATAAAACCAAACAAGCAAACAAAAACACACCCCAGTAAAGCCATGGAGTGATGGAGAGAAGGGAAAGTGAACGAACGGGAAGAGGGACTGCCCTTCCCAAGCCCTGCTCATCCCCAGCATCAGCCCCCTTTCTGTCTCAAGCACCTCTGGCCAGGTCTCTGAGCACTGTTTGGTTTGAGGTGAAGCCAGGGAAAGCTCAGGTGGCCTTTCCCCAATGCCAGGCTGGGGGCCGGGTATTATGCCAATGCAGGGAAAGACCAGTTCCAAGAGGGCAAGGACTTCAACACCCGCAGCCAAACCCAAATCCAAAAACCTCCTCATTAACGGAAAATCTGCGAGTTCACAGCCAGGAGAATAGGGTGACTGGAGACTGAGAGGGTAGGGGACGCAAACAGGGCCCCAGTGAGAGAGTGAAGGGCCTCTCGTTTCTCTCCCAGAGTGATCTTGGAGACCCTGTTCCCTAGAGTAAGAAGTTAGTCTGAAGCTGGAGACATGAAAATTGCCTGCTGATCTTGTTAAAATATAGATTTTTGATCCAGTATGTCAGGAGGGAAAGGCGAATTCCTAGCAGGGGGTCAAAAGGAAAGACAAAGCCAGAGACTTTGGCTAAACTCTGTGTGTGTGTGTGTGTGTGTGTGTG